TGGAGCTGGAGTTAAAGGAGGTTGTGAACCACCTGATGTGACTACTGGCAACCAAACAGGGGCTCTCTGCAGGAACAGTACACATTCTTAACCACTGAGCCGTTTCCTCCAGCCCAGCATTTGGAATTTTAGATGTGACAAACTGTTCACCCTTTGGACTGGAGGTAGTGGGTGGGACACATAGCCCAGCATGGCAGCGGGTCAACTGATCCAGAGGCTACATCATGCACAGCCTGCATGTGACAATGATAACTGTGTGAAGATGATGGGGAAAAACAGGGCAGGAACATGACATCCTGCCTCTTACATGTGTATGGGGGCCCAGGGGGCAAGAATCTGCTTTTGCTGTAAAATTTTTCTCTAATGAAAATTCAGAGTTTTTTTTCCATTTACAAAATTGTTACTTTTAAATTACCTCAAGCAAGAACAATTTGCAGATAGTGTGTGCGAGTGAATTTCCTCAGCCACCTTTTCATGTGTAAAAAAGAGAAAACCCTCTGCCTTGTAATACACAGAGAGAGAGAGAGAGATGATATGGGATTCCTTTCTTTATGCTATGAATGTTTTATTGCCATTGGTTAATAAAGAAGCTGCTTTCAGTCAATGGCTTAACAAAATATATCCATACTGAAAGAGATACAGAGAGAGAATAGATGGAGTCAGGAAGAAGCCATGTAAATGCCACAGGAGACAGACACCTCTCCTGAAGCCTGCTCAAACTTTATCTACCGGTAGGCCACAACCTTGTGGTGATGTACAGATTAATGGAGATGGGTTATTTTAGGATGTAAGAGCTAGCCAATAAGAAGCTAGAGCTAATAGGCCAAGCAGTTATTTAATTAATACAGTTTCTGTATAGTTATTTCAAGTATGGGAACCGGGGAACGAATGAGCAGCCTCCACCAATACAAACACACACACACACACACACACACACACACACTGTCTCTCTTTTTTCCAGGCTGACAATTCAAACACAGATATGCCTGAGGCCTTCCAGACCGACACATCTAGACCTTGCATTTAAAAGCCAAAACCTTTCTTCCCCAAAGCCCTACTTTGTGATTCAGACTTTGGTGTTCAGAATAGCTACTCTTTCTGCTGACACTCAAAAGCTCCTTATCAAGTCCAAAGACAAGATCCTGACTCCAGGTGCCGGAGAGACAGCTCAGTTCAGTGATTAAGAATACATGCTGCTAGCCGGGCGATGGTGGCGCATGCCTTTAATCCCAGCACTCGGGAGGCAGAGGTAGGCGGATCTCTGTGAGTTCGAGACCAGCCTGGTCTACAGAGCTAGTTCCAGGACAGGCTCCAAAGCCACAGAGAAACCCTGTCTCGAAAAGCCAAAAAAAAAAAAAAAAAAAAAAAGAATACATGCTGCTTTTGCGAAAGACGTGAGTTCAGTTCTTAGAACCCACATTGGAACTCCAGCTCCAGTGAATCTAATGCCCTCTTCTGGCCACAATGGGCAATGCACATACACATAAACAAAAATAATAAAAAAATAAATCTTAAAAAAATAGAAATTGACTCTGTTATCAGAATGGACACTGCCTGCTTCAGCTCTCAACTGCTGAAAACCTGTGAGTTTGACTTTTTCACAGTAAACCACACTCAGGTGTGAGCATACACACATGGAGAATGTACTCAAGTTAATGATGATGTATTATCCTGCACTCAAAAGCAAGCCTTTGTTTGGACTAACCCAGTAACTCATTAGGATGGCCTATGAGGTCTGTCCAGAGTATAATTGTATAATTCTAGTCTATATTTAACACTCACTGTCAAAATCCATGCCCTGATATTGTCAACAGACTTGTGTGTATGTGTGTGTGTGTGTGTGTGTGTGTGTGTGTGTGTGGTCCCCAGGGGCCAGAAGAGGTCATCAGATCCCCTAAAGCTGAAGTAAGTGGTTGTAAGCTGCTGGACATGGGTGTGGGGAATTGAACTCAGCTCCTCTGTAAGAGCAGTACATGATCTTCACCACCAAGCCATATCACCAGCCCCATGAATGTCATTTTAAAAACTGTTGTAGATTTATTTTATATTGTATGCGTGGGTATTTTCCCTGCATGTATGTCTGTGCCCTAAGAGGTCAGAAGATGTCAGCTCTCCTAGAACTATAGTTGCAGATAGTTGTAGGCTACCATGTAGGTGCTGGGAATCAAATCTGAGTCCTCTACAAGAACAGCCAGTGCTCTAAACTGCTGAGCTATCTCTCCAGCCCCATGCATTTCATTTTTTAATGTATAAGAGTGACTTTAGTAAACAATGACTGGTAGATCACTTTGGAAAAGATCTCAATGTCCCAGAACCCTCCAACACATACAACAAAGTGCTGACTCACTCCAGACTGCCGTGAGGACATTCAGAGGGAGCCTGTGTCTATGTGCAATCAATACACTTATTTTACTATTTCCCTTGGCTGTGCTTCACCTGAAGCAAAGGGGCATTTCATGCCACGAAAAGTCACGTTCTCTCTTACACTGGGAGTTTTTAATTTAGGAGCAGCAAAGTTTGAGGTGCTGATCAATAGGATGCACTGGCAGAGAACCTGCAATATAAATGATCATCTGGCGGAGTAAAGGTGAGGGGTGACTTTAAAGGCTAAATTAAAGTCCAGAAAAACACTGCTCGTGACATTAAAAGTTATTCAGCAATTATACAAAGCAGGCTGCCTATAGTCAAAACCAGAATCTCAGTTTGGTATAACTCAATGGCTGCTGCTATGCAGTCACCACCTTTTCTTCCCCAGTTACAGATTCCAACTCTTCCACTGGACCCAGGAGTTTATAGATCCCCGCTTCCCTTGCAGGTATATGTGGCTATGGGATATGACCCAAAGTAAGAATTACCTTGAAAAGAAGGATAGGTATCTTTGTTCTTGCCTGGACTTCAGGCATAATGGAAGAATGTAAGCAGCCCCTTATATCATGAGTTAGTAATGGCCACCTCCCCCTTGACAAGGGGGAGGAAAAGCAAGATGGAAAAGGTGTAGGTCTCTCACCCCATACAACACTGGCTCCTCCCAGTGAGTCTTGTTATTTGAGAGGGAAAGAATTAATTTCTATATTGTTTAAACCACTACTCATTTGGGGATTTTCTGGTGGTGGTGGTGGTGGTGTGTGTGTTATGTATGTACCTGTATGTGTGTGCTGGGAACTGAACCCAGCACCTATAGAAGAGTAGTCAATACTATTTACCACTGAGCCATCTTTCCAGCCCCTGCATCATTTCTTTGAAACAGTCTCTCACTGAAAGCATAGAGCCAATGTGGTAGCCAGTAAGCCCCAGTGACTCTCTTGTACCAGAACACTGTGTTTATAGGCATATATGACTGATAAATAGCAATTTCCTCTGTACTGAAACATTTTGTCTTGGAGAAAGGCTCTTAAGACTCAGGAAGTGAACAAGAAGACCCTGAAACTGAACAGACACACAAGGCCTCTTCTTTCCCAAAATTATATAGGTAGCTAGGGCAGCTGAGGAAGATGAGACTCTCTGACCTCTTAAGCTGCCTGCACCTCTTGCAGAGAGGCACCCAGGCTGGCCTTTGCAGCAAGGAATCTATGCTCTTAGGTAACTCCTCACCCACACTCCTGTAAGTAACCCCAACACACTCACTGGTTCACCAAGTGGGGCCTTGCTAGTTTTTGTACATTAGTGCACCATGGGTTCCCTATCTGAGCTGGGTAATCTGTTTTCCAGAAAAAGTCCAACAACAGTGGCCAAGTGTGGCTTTTTTCATAGATGCTGGGATCTAAAAAACTCAGGTCCCTGGGCTCATTTAGCAGGTCTCTTATACACTGAGCCATCTCCCCAGGCCCTGTATTTTATTTTCCTGTTGTCAAACACAATGTCCCCAGAGTCTTCCTCCATGTCCCTGTTAAGTTTGTCCCTCTGATGAGTGTTAAAAATGTTTAAAACTTTTTAAATAGCACCACAGGGGCTGGAGAATTGGTTCAGCGGCTAAGGGTACTTACTGCTCTTGCAGAGGACCAGGGTTCAGTTCCCAGCACCCACATTAGGCAGCTCATAGTCATCAGAAACTCCAACTCTGAGGACTCTGATGCCTTCTACTGGCGTCTGTGGGCTTCTTAACATACATGAGCCTATGTAGGTTCATACATATACACATAAATAAAAGTAAACCTAAATAATTTGATAATGTGTTGCTTGGACCGTAAAGCAGAATTGCAAATGTTGGGAAAGAGGCAGGAAGTGCTTAGGTCGACAAAATGGAGGTGGGAAATACTGCAGTTAAATGAGAACGATAAACATGGGCGCTTGCTTACATTGCACTACCCAGCTGGTGGTGCTTTCTAGAGCGGCTGTGGAACCTTGTGGAGAAGGTCACTGGGGCACTGCCTTTGAAGACATTGGTCTGACATAGCTTCCTACCCCAGCTCTCTCATCAACCAAAATTCAAACTAGCTAGGCCAAAGCCTCCCCTGCCACACAGAGTCACCACAGCCTCCAGAGTGGACCAAATGCCCTGGCCGTTGGGCAGAAAGTTGCTTCTGTTAGGGATTCTGTCATGGTGACTAGAAAGAGAACGGATATGGGAAGTTAACGGCACCCCGGTCTGTGAGGGGCTGACATAACGGAAGTAATGAGTGAAGGGAAGCAGTAATAAGACTGGCAAGAGCCAGGCCATTCAAGGTGGCTGCTATGCACACCATTTGCAAACCTCCCACATGGTCAGAGTGTCTCCCATCCAGAGGCCTCCCTCACATGCTCACTTGAAAGCACAGCTGCCATGTGCCCCTCTGAGGAGGGCCTCCTGTGTGGTGTTGAGGCCATTAGCCTTGAGTGGGGTTCTAGGGCCACTGCCTCTTCTTTCTCTTTCTTTCCCCATGTGTGAAGGGAGATTTGCTCTGCCAATCATTCCTGTCAAGATGCTTCTTTGGCACAGGCCCAGAGCAATAGGGCCAACCTGGTGTAGATGAGAAACTCCAACCTGAGAGCCTGCATAAACCTCTCTCTATCGGTCACTGCAGTGTCTGTTCCTGAAAGGGAAAGCTATCACACTTTAGTATAAGTTCATATCAAACCCCTCCAACCAGACACTTAAGTGTCATATTTGTTTTCCTGGGGACTACAAGAGGCACTCCTGGGATGAATAAACAGCGGCTGTTTTTGTATGCCTGATGGTGACACGCTTTATTAATTAAGACCCTTCCCTTCCCCAAAGTGCACATGGCAGAAGATGTAACTCAGTGATGCTGGCATGACGGAGGTCAGGCAGTGATATCGACACTGGGCAAAGGAGAGGCCTGCATTCCAGAGCATCCCCCGCTTTGTAAACAAAGACACCTAACGCCCTCTGTCCACCTCTCCTGAGGTGGGCGGGAACTATGGGCTCAGAGGAACTGCCTGCAGGATTCAGACTTCTTTACTCCCTCTCTCTCCTTGTGCCCAGAGAGGTAGGACCCCAGCTCAAGTCAGGAGCCAAGGAAGTGGGCACATTGCTCAGCTGGCCTCCAGACGCTAGGCACTCAGGGACTACGGAATTGCCGCTGCCTCTGCTGGAGCCTTCATGAAAGTGACTGTGCGGGGTCTGAGGTATGGAAATGGGGAGCCGGATTATACCCTAGAGAATGGGGCTCTGGTCTCATCCCCGAAGCACTGGCTTACAAAGTTTGCTTCCTTCTAGTCCACTTCTCCTAGAATGAGATGTGACTATTAGCATTTCTTTCTTTCTTTCTTTCTTTCTTTTTCTTCCTTTCTTCCTTTCTTTCTTTCCTTTTTCTTTTTTTCTTTTCCTGTAGAAAAGCAAAAGGCCCAGGATGTGCCTTCAAAGTTGGACCGAGGACAGTCCAGGTGCCAAGTCCTCCCACCCCCCCACACACACACCGTGCCCCTCCAGAGTCTGGCACTTTCTTTGCATGTATGGCTCTTGGCTGCATTGTTCCTCCCTCCTCCTCCTCCTTCCTAGACGTGGGAAGCACAAACTTCAACCGTTTAATCCTCCAAGCTGGCCTCCAGCTTCCCGATGAGGCGCTGGTAAGTGTCTCTCTCCACTTGCCAAGAGTGGTATGTCCTCACGTACTCCCTTCCATTGGTCACGATTTCCTTCTCCAGCACGGGATCACTGACCAGTCTCTTTGCCAACTGAATGAACTCCTGGAAGACAAAAGTGGATGAGAAACATGCCTGAGTGATGAGCGGAAGGGAACCTGAGGGAAGCTGTCTGAAAGCTGTATCTGCACCAGTTCCCGGTCATTCTCCCATCCCATCCCCCATCACTACCACCCCCGCTCCCCATCTGCCTCACAGTCTAAAGAAACAGTGCTTTCAGCTGGGTATCAGAATAGCGCAAGCACTGAGATTAAGACACACTGTGTATGTCAGGCTGGCGAGATGGCTCAGTAGGTAAAGGTACCTGCCACCAAGAGTAACGACCTGAGTTCAATCTCCAGGACCCACCTGGTGGAAAGAGAGAACTGACTCCCATACATTGTCATTTGACCTCCATGTGTGCGCTGTAGCATGTTCACACCCACACCCACACACACAAAAAAATAAAAATGTTAGTGTCTATATGTGTGTGGACACACAGACAAATATGATATGTGTGCACGCACATACACACGTGCATATGCCATATCTATAACCATATGCTCACACTGTTCTTGTGGTTTTGCAGTGAACAACTATAAGAAGCAGCATGCACACAAACACACACACACACACATTTGTGCCCATAAACACCTGCAGGAAACACCCAGGGAAAACCCTAGAGCTGTCAATCATGCCTCTTTCCAGTCTTCCTTAATCCAATAAGAATCATCCCTTGAGCCTATTTCTGCAGTGGGCGGTGCTTACACAGAGACTCATATGGGGTCAAAAATGCTGAGGATAAGTGGCTCAGCCTTAGATGGGATGTGTTTATCACACCCTTCGGGCTGCTTGGGGAACACAGTGCTGGGGGTTAAAACTGTAAGAACTAGAGGAGGCGTACAGTGTTGTGCAACACACATTCCGGGTGGTGCCACCCCTGGACAGGTGATCTTGGGTGTTATAAACGCAGACTAGACAGCTATGCAGAGCAAGCCTGTAAGCAGCTTTCATCCCCAGTCTGTTTCAGTTCTCACTTCCAGGTCCCTGCCCTGCTTGAGTCCCCAGCTTCCTCCAATGATGGGCTGTGGCCAGGATTTAGAGGCCACGTGAATCCTTTCTTCCCCAAGCTGCTTTTGGTTTATGGGGTTTTATCACAGTACTAAAAGCTAATGCAAGAAAGAGAGAGACTGTCCCCACTGGTAAGAGAGTGGCCACTTGTAAGGAACTCAGCCTCATGAGAAGAGTCACTAAGATACTAAGAGGAAGGGCAGGAGGGAGAAGGGGAAGAAAAGGGACTCATCAGGAAGAGAACTTTTTTAAAAATCCCATCTCCTTTCTTTGCAGTGATAGGAGCTGTGATTTCTTTGCTCTTCTTGCAGTCACAGCCGGAGACCATTGACTCACAATGAGCACAGAGAGCCTCATACTTGGGCACCCCTGGCGCAGAAGAATGCCCTGGGATTCTGGTGAAATCTGTGTTTGAGTTCCGCATTGCGTCACTCAGTGTCCGCCTCCCAACATGCTAGTTCCCACCTCTGAGTTCACCCCATCCCCTGTGAAGGAGCAAAGGCCACCATCCCCGCAGGCTGAGTGCCAAGCATGGGAAGACCCTGGGTTTTTGTTTTCTCACCTCGGCTCCTGTAGCTTCCCGTCGGACCATGTGTGTATTATTAACCGATGCATTGAGAGGCTCCTACTAAAAAAGCCTTCATTTCAAAGCCTTTCATAATTAGGACATTAAGATGAATCCTGATATCAAAGCTTGTTTATGGAGAAGAGGGGAGTACACATTATTTATTATGCTTGCCTGGAATTCTCAGGAGGGTTGAGGCAGGAACCTGGCTTAAGTTCCCAAACTCTCCTTCCTGAAGTCGACACGGAGGCTTGCACATGGCCCTCAACTGTCAGCCACAGTAGTGACAACAGTTGCTACAGAATGTCACGCTGACAGGGCTAGGGCAATGGCTCAGTTAGGAAAGTGCTTGCCTTATAAACACGAGGACCTGAGCTCCACCCCCAGCACCCAGAGCAAAGGACTTCCATGTGGTGGCACACACTTGTAGTCTCTGTGCTAGGGAGGCAGAGACGGGTGGATCTCTGGGGCTCAAGGGTCAGCCAGCCTAGCCTACTTGTGAATTCTAAGCCTGGCATTACAAAAAACAAGCAACCAGGTGCAGCAGTGGGGTGCAGTATCTGGGGAACAGCAGGAAAGGTTATCCTCTGGCTTCCACATGCACCCCAGCACCGCATGCATACTTGTGCCTACAAGACACACACACATACACACAGACTCTCATGCAAAAAGTCAAACACTCTTAATTACTATTATTCTCTTACTCCCTCAGCTCAGGTAAACTCCAACCAGAAGACAGTGCCTGAGAGACTTTACTGTCAAGTAGGAACGTCCACATATTCTCAAAATTATTGTTAATTAAATGTTGAATGCCTTTTATAGCTGGCAATATAAATAGCAACATTTATGTGGGTGGGATTTTATTTTTATGTACTATGTACACATTTTCTAGTAAATTGGTGCTCTTTTCACCATAAAAACATAACATATTTATTTTCACCGCGTGGCAGAACAGCATTCTTATTAAAATAATTTGAGGGGCTTAGCACTCGGGAATATTACTTTACGACACCGGCCATATCTGTGATTTATCTGATGTGGAGGATTGGGCTAAAGCGGGGACTTTTGCTTACTATCGCTACAAAATGCAGGGCAATTTTAGAGCAAAATCCTGAGTGATGGGGGATAGGCTCTGATAAAACACCCATTTAACTTATTTATTTATGTATTTACTCACTCAGCAATGACGTCTGGGAAAAGAGGGCTTGAAGCAAGAAAGATCAGGAGCTAGAAATCAGATGGACCTTACAAGTGCCTTAATGACAACATGAAAAGAGATGGAAAGAAAGAAGAGAAATAGCCAGATCAAGAAGAATGAAAGAAAGAAAGAAAGGAAGGAAGGAAGGAAGGAAGAAAAAAAAGAAAGGGAAAGAAAAAAGAAAAGAAAAGAAAAGAAAAGAAAAGAAAAGAAAACCTTAGTCTTACAGTGACCATCTACTGAGCCAGGATATTGTCCCTGTGCACAGATGAGCTACCTGCCACTCATTCATTGGATCTTGGTCAAGGACTGTCTGCAAAGTCAGCTGCCACCAGCCCTCCAGCCCTCATGCAAGAGTCTTTACATTGTAGCTTCTGTCGCTCCTCCCTGTTGGAGTCGAGCCCCTATTTCCCCTCCCCATAACTGCAGTGGACAAGTCTGGGCTCTTGCTTTCAACAGCATGGTGTGTCAGAAATGATGCTGTTTTTGACTTGCAGGCAAAGCTTTGAAGAAAGAAACCTTAGTAGATTTTAGAAGTAAAAATCTAGCTTTAGTTTCTGCTCTGCTCCTTCAAGTCTCCTTGGAAAATGATGCAGAAAGATGCTTGGGGCAGCCTCACTGAGGATGAGACACCAAGGACAGAATCAAGGCCAATGCAAGAGGAACACCATCTTGTAAGTAAGTGCTGGGTGGTTACCCAGCCCCTGCACAACTATAGCACAAGTTGACTCACGGGCCTGGCAGCTAGCCCCAACTGGACTAGCAGAAGTGTCTCCATGGGACCCAGCTGCTTAATCAGCCATGAACACCCCAGCCTGCAGCCCAGTCCTTACTTTTTCCTTCCTCTCAGATGAAATGACCACCTTTTAGTGTAATGCGGTCCAGGGAGACGACTTAGACCCAGCACCCATGGATGGCCCTATCTGTCCACACTGACTATGGGGCTGTGGCAAGCCACAGCCCAACTCATTTCCTTGACTCAAGGAGAGAATAATCCCGAGAGTCACTCCCAACCAGCAGGAGCCATGGCAAAGGTCAGGAGCGAGAATGCCTTTGACTGGTCCACACTCCATGGCCTCCTGTAAGTCCAGGCTATGTGTACGATATCTGAAACCTACCTGGAGCCACCACACCAAACAGACCAAAGAACTATAAAGCAAGAGCCACAGAAAAACATCTGTAGAGTGCACACACTAAACCCGGACAAAGTCATTCAGCCTGGAGCAGTCACAGGTACCACACAGCTGTGGCACCCCAGAGCACACCCAAGTGCAGAGTTAAGCAGGTCAAGTGACTTGAGAGAGGTGCTCTTTCTTGGACCTATATTGCACTCTTGAAAGCCACTAGCAGAGATCAGGAAAAGGCAGAGCAGCTGCACGCACGGAGACAATTCAAATAAAAACCATATTCAAAAACCCAGTGCTTCAGAGAGCTCAGAAGTGAGCGGCATTATGGATGCTTATAAGTCAGTCTTGGGAAAACCATATGCCACCCATCCCCAATGAGTAGCCAGTAGTGATTTAAGTCACTCAGAAACACAAAGGACACAGCCAACTAAATACAACGAAGGTGTAGACGGAAGCTGCCTCGAGGGTTGCAGGTGTGCAGATTCTGGCTCAGACAACTGCAGAAAGTTGTCTGTTTTTATGTGATACAAACAAGCATTGTTTCTCTTCAGATAAGTAACTACTTAAAGTTTACTTTCTTTCCACCTCACACTCTGTTCCTGACAGAGACTGTATCCTTTCTTTCTTTAAAAAAAAAAAAAAAAAAAAAAAAAACCTACTTTTAATTCTTTGAAAGCTTCATATACAAAGTATCTCAATACTATCTAGTCTCTAACCCCCAGCTCTCTCGTTGTCCCCAACACATCTTTCCAGCTTCCGGCTCCCTTTAAAAAAGAATTAACTCACGGAAATTAGTAGCACATGATTTCCGGTCACCCACTGAGCTATGAGCAACCTCCCAGTAGCCGCAAACTCCCAAGAATGACTTTCCCTCTTCCACAGCCACAAACTGCCTATAGATTCTGAGCTAGGGCTGCAGCTCCGGGAACCCCCTACTCCGTTTGTCCTGGAGTTTTGATTGGCTTGATCCTGCGCAGATCTTATGCAGGTATGGCAGCTTGAACACGGAATGTCTTCTACATCATCTTAGGCATTTGAGCAGTTGGTCCCCGGTTGGTGATGCTATTTGGGGGAGGTTTAACTGATGCAGCCTAGCTGGAGAAAGTAGATTACTGGGGGGCAGGCTTGGAGACAAAAAAAAAAAAAAAAGGACTCCAAACCACTAATTTGCTCTCTGCTTCTTGATTACAGCTAAGGCTGCGAGCTCTCAATTTCCTGCACCTGCCCTGTGCACCATGCTGTCCACAGCATTATGGACTCTAGCCCTTGAGAGCTGTGAGTCAAACATGAAATAAAACAACCTCTTTCTTCTCTAAGCTGCCTTGGCCATGATGTTTTATCATAGCAACAGAAAACTAAGACATCCATCCCGGTGAGACCACGGGTGGAACAACACTGTCCTGCCCAGCAGGCAGCGTTCCACAGCCCTCCTCCTTTGCCAATGGCCCTGCCCTCCAGGAGTCTGGGGCTCACGAGAGGCAGCTGGCTTCTTTACAGATGAATGAAAGAAGTTCAAACTGCAGATCTGGGGTGCTATGGTGGGAACCTAGCCGCTACCTGGACCAAGGAGAGCTCTTCAGCAAAGAAGCTAGCATAGGAAGGAAGGAAGGAAGGAAGGAAGGAAGGAAGGAAGGAAGGGGAAAAGAAAAGAAGTCACGTTGACCACTAAGACAGGAGATGAAATATAACAAGCCCTTTATAAGCATTAGCCACTGCCCCCACTAATAACCCAAAGTTGATTTCTCTACAGTTGTCTGAAGAGCAAATAGAAAACCTGCTAGGGAATAAGCGCGAGCCTCTTTTTGAAGAACGCAACCCTGGCAGAATATGAATTCACTGCTTCTATTAAATGTCGTATGGATCTTAATTTTGAAGCTATAAAACTAAGCTATAAAAACACCCAGGAAAGTCACTGGACTCGTTTCTTCTTACATGGAGAAATAACCAGATTGTTGAGGTAATGAGAAATCAATGCTGAGCGGGTTTGGAGAGCTTCGTTTAATTGAAATTTTCCAGAGGTGAAGTATACAAAAACAGAGATTATTCTGTGCCTACAGCCGTGAAATATGCTTAGTCATCAGCCTTTCAGATGAAAAAGATAGCTATAGAGATATAGATGGATATTAGATAGATAGATAGATAGATAGATAGATAGATAGATATTAGATATAGACAGATAGATAGATAGGCATGCATAAACATATATAGATTTACACATACATATATAGATATGCATACACATTAGATATATAGAGAGATATTAGATATAGAGATAGACATAGATAGTTGAAGATACAGACATAGACAGAGAGCGATAAATAAATACAGATGACCCAGTAGGCTCTCCTTGTAAGGTTCCCAAAGCAAACATCCTGTACTGCTTCAGTTTCTGTCACCTGGATCCAAACTAGGGTCACCTGGGAAGAGGGAACCTCAACCGAGGAATTCTCACCATCAGATTGGCCATCAGATTTTCTTGACTGTTGATTGATGTGGGAGGGTGCAGCCCACTGTGGGTGGTGCCACCCCTGGGCAAGGTGATACTGGGTTGTATAGGAAAGCAGACTGCAGGCCAGGTGGTGATGGTGCACACCTTTAATCCCAGTGCTTGGGAGGCAGAGGTAAGGGGATCTCTGAGTTCGAAGCCAGCCTGGTCTACAGAGTGAGTTCCAGGACAGCCAAGGATACACAGAGAAACCCTGTCTCGGAAAAGAAGAAGAAAGGAAGGAAGGAAGGAAGGAAGGAAGAAGAAGAAAGGGAGGGAGGGAGGAAGGAAGGAAGGAAGGAAGGAAAAGGAAGGGAGGAAGGAAGGAAGGAAGGAAGGAAAGCAGACTGAGCAAACCACGGTGACAAACCAGTAAGCAGTACTCCTCTGTGGTTCCTGTTTCTGCTCCTGCATGAGTGAGTTACTGCTCTGAATTCCATCAATGACGGACTGTTACTGGGATGTGAAAGCCACATAAAACCTTTTCCTCCCCAGGTTGATTTTGGCCCTGGCGTTTACCACGGCAATCGAAAACAAACTAATACAGTCCTTTCCTTCCAGATTCCTCTCTATGCTCCCACAGGTAGCTGTCACAGGGATAAGGATGTGTGTTAGGGGGAGTACAGGTTTTGGTTTTCCCATTCTTATCAAGGAACAAGGGCTTAGGGGCAGGTCCTGTCTCAGGTGCTAGAGAACCATATAATGCAGAGGCCCAAATCCCACAAATGGGCATTCAATCATCTCCATTTCTCGACGGCAGAAATCACCCTGGAAGGCTGGGCACTCTAAAGGGGTGGAGAAGAAGGGTGGAGACAGAAAGGCAGACACAAAACCAATGACTGAGCACCCTGTTCCACACAGCTGTCACCAAGAATGAACTTCTGATCCTCCCAAATGCTGGATTTGTAGACACACACCACTATGTCCGGTTTCATGCATTGCTGGCACCTAAATCCACAGCTTCATGCGTGCTAGGCTGACAACCTACTAACTGAACCGCATCCCAGCATCTAAAATGATCCTCTTTCTAGAGGTCAATACAGCCACACACCCAGCTATGCTGCATGGTCCATGGGTTGCCCTTGCCCTCCTTCTCCCTCAAGTTTCCATGGTGCCTGGCCAAATTCAATATTTCTGTTCCCCAAACCAAGGCCCGTTTCTTCTGCCGCCTGTCCACTGGAGCTACTCTGAGCTCCCAGACCCTGTCCAAGGTTCCTGGCCATGTACCCCACCCCCTTACACAGGCCCTACCTTCCCAATCTCTTTGAACTCTTCAGCCCTTTATCTCCAGCCCTACATGGAGAGATCAAGTTTCTTTATGTTCCCAATTAAGGAAGAACAGCTAACGCAGAATGAGTAACTATATTTAGCCTGGATTCAAAGAGCATTTATGCTTACGCATTATTTATGTCCTATGCATTTCATATACATATTTTAACGCCCAGAGCTGGTGGTCTGACAGAACAGTTCTTCTTAATAAATGAAATGCTGATTCTCATACATATTTGAATGCATATTTGAAATTACATTTGCCCTCCCTACAGCCGACCGGCGAGTGGCTAAAGTCTGAGTTCCACGGTGGTTGAGATGAATACAATGCCAGCCTGAAGTTCCTTAAAATTTGCATTATTTGTTTTTCAAGCATCCTACCCCACCACGCACCGGGTAATGTCTGGTGGAGATGACGAGGGCAACAAAGTCCGGGCAACATCCGTGTCTCGCACACCGTTTCAGAGTGTGAGGAATCGCAGCTCTCCCCGCCTAGAACCGGGAAGGCCTGCTGTTCTAAACATCCTCGCTAAAGCCAACATGAAGACGCTGAGTTGAAACACATCTGCAAGCAAGTTCTGCAGTGGGGGTGTGGGGGTGGGGCTGTGTCTGTGGCTCGTGGGAGCCTGTGCTGACCTGAGAGGACCTGAACACGAGAGAGGCAGGGAGCTGTGCCTCCAGACCCCGATGCACACAGCGTCACAAGGCACCAGAAAGCCAGAGTTCCTTCTCTTCTGCTCCACCCTGCCACAGACAACTGCTTAAAAGAACACCTGTGCATCTGGATTTTTTTGTTTGTCTGTTTGCTTGTTTATGTGAGGTTAGCCATGTTTTGCTTTATTAGGCAAGGTGTCCTATAGCTCAGGCTGGTCTTGAACTAGAGCTGTAGCAGAGGTTGACCTTGAACTTCTGACCCTCCTGCTTCTCCCTTCTGAAGGCTCTGTGACAGGTGTGCACTGACAAGCCTGCCTTATGCATGCCAAGCAAGTCACTCAGCCACTGAGCTACAACAGTCAGGTCAGAGGTACCTGGATTTCTAAATGCTGCATGTCCCTCCAGGGTGAGAACAGAAACCACAGAGCTTGCCGGGCACCTCGATGCACAGCAGGAGCTGAGAGGTTTATGAGGAACCCAGATTTATGGCCATCCTTCAGACAGACAGACAGAAATCGCACCAATGAGGCCAGTGTGGGGAAAGGACTCTTTTTACCTGAGGGGTTGTGAACAGCAATCCCGTGACTCCGTGCTCTACCACAGCCGAGTTCCCAGGGATGTTCCTAGCCAGCACGGGAACTTCCAAATCCATCGCCTGGGAAGGTGGGAGGACAGAAGACAGGGGTTGTCACTGAAGAGTCAGACAAGGGGGCTGGAAGATGACTAAGGTGGTAAAGTGTTTGCCCTGCAAGCATTAGGACCCCAGTTCGATCCCCGAGGAGTCGTGTTAAACACATAACCAGGCATGGTGGTGCACGTCTATAATCTCCATCCCGGGTGTGGAGCTGGGGGCCTGCAAGACAAGGGGATCCCTGGAGCTTACTAGCTAGCTGGTCTAGCCTCATTGTTAGACTCTAGGTTATGAAAGACTCTAGCTCAGAAAAACTAAGGCGGATGCGACTGGAGAGATGGTTACATGTGCTTGCTGCTTTTGCAGAAGATTGGAGTTCAGGTCCCGGCACCCAAGCTGGACTCCTAGATCTGGGGATACAACCCCCTCTTCAGGTCACCATGGCCACTCCCACACATGTACACATACCCCCACATAAACACACATGAGTGTACATATTGGAAAGTAAAAATAAATCTTTTTTTTTTTTTAAAAAAATGGCAAATTCTTAGCACAGACAAGCTCTGAGAATATGAACACACTGAGAAGCTGGTCCCAGTAGCACTGCAGCTGGCAAGGCCCTGCGCTAGACGTGTTTGGAAATGGGCATCCTCCTCCCATCCAGAGCAAATCCGCAGAGTGAGCAGGGAAAGACAGAGGAGGGGGTGAGCTTGGCGCTTGGGATAGACACACAAATGTCAGAACACAAGACCCCACAGCCTCCCTTCAGAAACAGGCTCACCTAAGCCAACTCAACCTCCTCTTATGGGGTGGACAGAACCCCCTGTATGATTCTCTAAAACCCCTGCAGCCAGCCCCCCACCCTTATCAGAGCTATCTGGGGTTTATAGAAACAGTCTTTATGTTTCATGGCTGAGAAGTCACGAGAAATACCCAGACTCTGAGGACACACAGCTCACCTGCGTGTGTCTGGGGGGGTTGGGAGGGAGCTTGCTCGTCAATTCTGGGTCACACCTGAGGTTAAACATAGCCCTCTCTGTATGTTCTCGAAGAGGGGTTTGCTTTGCTTGGATTCTGGTGACATGCATGACCGTCCTGAGGGATCACTGGTAGTGTAGGGAAATGACTTGATCTGAAGACATAGGTCACACAGACGCACAAAACCGAGCAGGGGGTGTTTCTGGTGGGTGTTGGCCAGCGGCTGGTGATATGGTTCTTCTCCACCAAAGACTATACAGCCCCTTGCAAAAGTCCTCATCTCCTACAGCAGGCATATCCCAAATAAATACCCTCCGCACACCTTTCCAGTTCTGACTCTCTCTCCCTCTCTGCCTCCCACTCTCCATCCCATCCTCCCTCCCTCCTCCTCTCACACACTCTGACACAAAATGGCACAAGCGTCTTGAAACGCTCTTCCAGGGTCCTTCAAGGTTCTCCAATCACCAGAGCCGGCGCTACCCGCTAAGGTCAAGCATTCTCCTCCTTGCTCTTAGCTTTTGAGCATAGCCCTCCTTTCACCCAGGGGGCAAAACCTGACCCAGAAGGTACGGTGTACGTCTGTGTGCGACTGTATCTATGTTGGTGCTCCAAACAGGAACACTGGGGAATGAAGATTATCTTTCACATCCTTTGTGTGTGGAGGGGTACGTACGGATATGTAGCAGACAGAGGAAAGCGTGAAGTGGCCTTCCTCAGGAACTATATCCCTCGTTGTTTTGAGACGGCATCTCTCACTGGCCTGGAGCTCACAGATTCTATTAGGTTAACTGTCCAGCGAGCCCGGGGGATCTGCCTGTCTCTGCTCTCCCCTGTCCCTAGCCCTGGGATAACACTTACAAGCAACCATGCTGGCTTTTCCTGTGTGTCCCGGGGATTGAATTTAGTGGGTAGTGCCAGGTTTAGTGATTGGAGGATCTTGAAGGACCCTGGAAGAGCGTTTCAAAACACTTGTGCTGTTTTGGTATCAGAGTGTGTGAGAAAGGAAGAGGGAAGGAAGGAGGGAGAGAGGGACAGAGAGAGCAAATACTTTACTGACTGAACCATCTCCCCATCCCCTTTCTTTTAGATAATTCTATGTGGGGCTCAAATCCACAATCTGCTTAAATGGGAAATGCCTGGCAGGTTTTTAGCAATAACCAACCATCCAGTCGCTGAGCATCCGGCCGAGATTTGGTTTTTTGAGTTTTCAGTGAGAGGCCTGCTTTTAGCCAAGGGGCATGTGTACTTGCCAGCACAGGAAAACAGATTCAGAAAGGTCAAAAGGTCACCTCCCTGACCAGTTGATGGCACATGCTCTATGATTAACTGCCCTGGCCATCTGAAGTGATTCTGACGAGAAAGACATGCTTATCCCTCCCCCTAAAATCAACCTCATTGAGAGCCCTCCGCCCAAAGGTTATTTTGACTTCTCAAAGGAATGCCGGCCAGCACCATCAACATTTCCAGGACATCAGGATTGCTAACAGCTGCCTTTTCTGTGACTTAAGTGGAGGCTGAGAGCAATTCCTCTGCAGGAAAAGCAGGTATGCAGCTTAGAAAACCACTCAGCAGACTCCAGGCTTACGGCCTCTTCTTAAGAAATAGCAAGGGGGAAAACGTGTATTTACATACAAGAGAGCAACTGGCACCTGCTCTCCACTGGTTTCAAAGGTAGTTGCTGAGGGGACAGACTGCCGAAGCGAACACTCATCACAGGGCACAGGGCTTCTTGGCCAGACACAGAGATGACACAAAGCCACGTCACATACTTTCAGAGTAGTGGATGCAAATTCACAACCACCTTGGGTGGCTTACAGCCACTTGCAATTCCAGCGCCAGAGTATCTGGACTCCCCCTTCTGGTCTTCTTCAGTCACTGCACTCACTTGCATATCTTTTTTTAAAAAGCAGAGAAGAGAAAGAAGAATAATCCAGTACCCCATCCTCAGCATCTGAGCTGAACCTACCTCCAGGATGGCAGCTGACATGCCCTCGGAGACTGAGCTGTTGACCAGCGCGAAGCAGCTCTTCACCAGCGCGTGCAGGTCTTTCTGACACATCTCCCGGATCAGCCGCACCCCTGCAGCCCTGAAAGAACAGAGCAGGGATGGCATGGTTGTTTCAGCCTGGCTCACTGTCCCGCTCAAATTTTATGTGAACAATTGAGACTGGGTCCCTTGTTCCTAACAGGAAAAAAAAAATGCAGTTTAAAAAGATACATTGATCGGTTATCTCCAAAGAGTCTATAGACATCAGCTGAACACAAGTCAGCTCCTTAAAGTCTTCCAAATCTTTGTTAAGATTTTTTTATTATTATTTTTCGAGACAAGGTTTTTCTGTAGCTTTGGAGTCTGTACTGGCACTTGTTCTGTACAGCAGGCTGGCCTTGAACTCACAGAGATCCACCTGCCTCTGCCTCCTGAGTGCTGGGATTAAAGACAGGTGCTACCACAGCCTGGCTGATTGATTGATTGATTGATTGATTGATTAATTGATTGGTTGATTGGTTGGTTGGTTGATTTGGTTTTTTAAGACAGGGTTTCTCTGTAGCTTTGGGGCCTGTCCTGGAACTAGCTCTTATAGACCAGGCTGGTCTCAAACTCACAGAGATTTACCTGCTTCTGTCTACAAGTGCTGGGATTAAAGGCGTGCACCACCACCGCCTGGCTGATTTATAAACATCAGTGTTTGCCTGCCATTATGCATGTGAACCATGTTACTACAGTGCTCACAGAGCCCACAAGAGGGCATCAGATCCTCTGGAACTGGAATTATAGGTGATTGTGAGTCACACTATGGATGCTGGGAACTGAACCTGGGTCCTCTACACTAGCAGCCAGTGCTCTGAACCAACTGAGCCTTTATTTATTTATTTATTTATTTATTTATTTATTTATTTTGCCGGTGTCATCAGTATGAAGCTGTCTTCAGGCATGGAGTCACATACCTAGAACCCCACCATGTAAGAAGCTTCTGATTCCAGTCCAGCCTGGGATATGCAGTGAGACAAAATGGTTTGCTCTGGCCTTTCTGCAGATGACTAGGGAGGTAGGACATCTTACACTTGAGTGCATCCATTTATTTGCCTGTACCTTGAGGCCCAAAGCATGACCTTGAGGGATCATAGGGAACATTAAAGGATGCAGTACTGGCAACCCGCTTAGAGCAGAGTCTACCATGGACAAGGTGGGACTCGTGAACCATTCTGCCATTCACCATTCCTAGTGTGCAAGACGCCACCTGCCTGCCACGCCTACCTCCTCACCCGGTCTTTCACTTCCCTGGTAAACGCTGGATCCACCTGGAAAAAGAGAGGGACAAGAAACACTTAAAACCTCTGAGCCTCGGGCTGGCACATGGCTCAGCGGATCAAGGCCCTTCCTGCAAAAGCCTGAGGACCTGGATCCAGAAACTCACATGGTTGAAGGAGATAACTGACTCCCCAAAGTTGTCCTCTCACTTCCACACATGCGCCATGGCATGTACGCGCACGCACACACACACACACACACACACACACAGAGGATTTTTGCATCCTGACCCTATAGGTGGTGAAGCACCTAACTAGCATGCATAAAGCCCCGGGTTCAATCAGTCCCCAACACTGAGTAAGCCAGGAATGACGATGAAAACCCGTACTCTTCACACTTGGAAAGAGGCAAACAGATCAGGAGTTCATGTTCTGCTATGTGGCAAATTCCAGGCTAGCCTTGGATATTTAAAAGACCCTGCCTAGGGCTGGAGTAAACCTGACCTAAATCCGAGTCTACAGAGTATAAATTGTAACAGGCTCAAAGCCCACCCAGTAGTTCAGAAAGGATAAATATAGGAAAAAAAACAAAACAAAACAGAGGAACAGTACAAGTCTAGCAGTTACACAATGAGAACAAGAACAGGAAGGAGCAGGGAGCACCTGGACTGTGTGTGCCACCTTCTGTGAGGGTTGAGTCCAGGGACACCTCAGGACGTTAAAGGACAGTGGAGCATTCCTACAGACAGGACAATTTAAGTGCCCCATCCTTCAGAGGAAGGCTTGCTTTCTTAAATGATGCCGATGGAATCTGTCATAAAAGCAATCAAGAGGATGCAGGGGAAAACCTCAGTAAGCCTGTGGCAAAGTAGTTCATGGAATCAAAGTTTGTTTTTACCGAGGAGCCTTCTCAGAAATGCAGCTTGCAAATCAAGGACGCGCCCCCTCCGCCAATGAATAACGAAAATGTGTTTACCCACACGAGTGTAATTCCAGACACAAAGAGAAAGGACTAAATTAGGTAACAACAGAAGTGAATCCAGAAAGCAAGAGCTAGCGCAGGCGCAGCGTGCACACCTGTGTTACAGCCCTCAGGGTTGGAGGCGGGAGGACAGAAGTTCAAGGTCAGACTGGCTCCGGAGTTCAAGGTCAGTTTGCTTCAAGAGGCTGTAGAGTAGGGCGTAGGACAGTCCTCCAGCTTGTTGATGCTCGCCACAAACCCCACACAACTGAGACATCTGACAGACTACATCAGGCAGACTGGCCCCTCAGTGTCTCCCGCCTGACTGCTAAAATGCTTTTGCAACAATAGAAAAAGCTCTCTCCAGCACAAAATTCTAGAGTCAGCAAGATGAAGATGGCTCAGTGGGTCAAGACGCTTGCCATCAAACCAGACCTGAGTTGGATCTCCAGGACCCATGTGCCCCATGGCTCATGTACCTCCTCCAAAATAAATATGTAAGTAAGTGTATTAAAAAAAAAAATAGAGCCCAGGAATGATGACACTCGCCTTTAATTCCAGTACTCGAGAGGCAAAGACAGGTGGGGGTCTCTCGTGAGAGCGAGGCAAACCTGGTCTACATAGTAAGTCATCTAGAGCTACAGAATGAGAGCCAGACTCAGAAAAAAAAAAAAAAAAGGAAGAAGAAAAAAGAAAGAGGAAAAATAAAAAAGACTTATTTTAGGTAGTGAGATGGCTCATTCTCAATGACATCTGCATGCAACACATAAATAAAAATAAAAAGACATTTTTAACTTTTTTTTTGTAAAGCCTAGACATTGTTTCAAAGACACAGCAAGGGTGTGAACCCAGCTCAGGAATGCAGGGTGCCAGCAGCCCCTCCCAACACTGGCTCCAGCTGGGCTGAGAGGAAAGTAAATCCAATTCCTGTTCTCATTCTGTTCTCATTTACGCGTTGCCAATAGCCATCGTGAATTACAAGCATGCTGGCTAGCTGCAAGCAAAACGCCAGGACGGCCACTTCTAATGGCAGGTGATAGACTGCCTTCTCCCAGGAACTCGGTTTCACTTTCTCCTGAGAGAAGTGCTGTATGGTGGTGCGCCTTGGATCCTTGCGACTGCTCAGATGCTTGCCCAAGATCCCAAAGGGCTGTCACTGTTAGGGTTGCTGATGTCCCCGGGCCGCTACATGCCTGGGAATCTGAAGGGCTACATCATATCAAACATGAATGCTAAGAATTTGTAATTATTCCTAGGAAGATCTGTGCAGAGAGAGGCTCATAGTTATGAACAACAAATCGCTATTTTGGCTCTTAATAATTAATACTCTGTAGCCATGTAAGCTAGAAGAACATGTGCCAAGTCCTTTACAGTTGTTAAATTGGTTCTAGCAACAATGTTACTACCAAACACTTCCACACAGGAGGACTGAGAGAGGTTGTTTAACTTCACCAGGGTCCCAGAGCAGGAAAGCTATTGGACCAGTGTTTCCATCTTGATTGCAAGTCAAGCTCCCTTGGTTCTGCTTGATTTCATCCTAACAAAGTTTGAGGAACAGAGGCTGGAGAGATGGCTCAGTTGGTAAATGATTGCCTTGTAACCATGAAGACCTCAGTTCAATCCCCAGAACCCACCTTTTAAAAAGCCAGGTGTCAGGGCTGGAAAGATGGCTTTAGTGGCGAATAGCACTTGTTGCCCTTACAGAAGAATGGGTTCCCAGCATTCATATTGGGTAACACTCAAAACCATCATCTGTAACACCAGTTGCATGAGATCTGGACACTGTCTTCTGGCCCCCATGAACCCCTACACTCAAGTGGTGATCATGTATCTGCACACACACATATGTATGTATGCACGTATGTATGTATAATAATTTAAACCTTAAAAAATCAAAGTATTATAGTGTATGCTCATAATCCTAGCTTGGGGGATAGGGAGTAGAAGATACCTGGCCCTTCCTGAAGAGTCTGCTTAGCCAGATCTGTGAGTCCCAGAACCATGAAAGATTCTGTCTCAAAACAAAAGGTGGATGGCCCTCCATAGGAATATGCACTAACTCAAGCACACGTGCGGCTGGACACACACACAGAGTAAAGGCCCATGAAATTCCTGCCACCTTCCTCACTATTCCCCCTCTGGCCAACCTGTGTCCCAGCCTCCAGGATGCAGTATCTCTGAAATGCTTTTAATCCCCGTTACTACCCAGACTAGAAGCACCACCCCCTCCCCAACTATCCTGCTACCTGCCATGGAGGATCTCCATCTATGATAGCTCTGCCTCTTTCCTCTACACCTCCGTCTCCTTTCCTGGATCCCATGCAGTGACTAGAACATCCCATGCATGAGAACTCCCTTTGCACTTCCCATTCTCGAGGCCTAAGGCTCCAAGTATCCTAAGCAACTAGATCTTACTACAACCCTCGCATGAAACCCTCCTTCTGGGCTGGCCAGATGGCTCAGTGGACAACTGTGCTTGCCACCAAGCACAATGGCTTAAGTTTGATCCCTGAGACAGCCCCATCCTCCCTACCTCAGAAAACTGTCCTTCGACCTCTAGACACATGCACCACGTCATGTGCATACGTACACACAGATAAAAATCAACAAAAAGCTGCAAGCCTTTCATTCGACATTTCTTTTCATGTTAACATTGTATGTGGAGGGGGGTACTTCAGCCAGGTCATCTTTCCATCTTTATGAGCATGCTTTGGCTCTCTTGAACGATTCGGGGGAAAGATGATTTGTCAAGCAAACAAGCCCGTGTTCTGAGACAGCTGAGATGCAAAACTGGTGCGTAGCTAAGGAGCGAAGAGCAAGCCCTAAGAAGAAACTACAGTCGGCACTGGGTTTACTTTCCACGTCAGTTCATTTTCAAATCTCTTAGTGAAGCCGAGTGGAACAAAACACCAGATAAAGAGCAAAGGAAGAGGGGATGCTGTTACTTAATGAAATTCTTAAAGGGAAAAAAAAAAACATCGAAAGCAGCAGAGAAAAATTCTCATTTCCTCCTTCTAAGCTTGTTTATTTCCTAACAAAATATATTGTTTCAACTCTCTCGGGCTTAGAGGAAATAATCTTCACAGGAGAAGTTACCGGGCAAAGTCATTAAGCTGTCATGCCCTAAGCAAACGTTCTGGCCTCCAGCTCGCTTATCAAAGAGCCAGGAAAGGTCCCGTACGAGACGCCCTGTGAGCAGGAACTCTGCTTCTCTCAAATGGGGAAACTGAGAGATCAAAGAAGCATTATTGAAACCCCAAGCCGAGCTCAGAGCACCCTACAGCTAGAACTGGATCCCGGCAGTCAGAGCAGGAAGGGACTGTTGGCGACAACAACGTCCCTTCCCTCCCTGTAGCCACAGGACACTACCCCAAGGACAAGAACGGCTCAAGTTCACTCAGAGCAAACTGGGAGGCAGGGACTGCTGTCTCAGTCATTTCTGCTCTGCAGATGGGGAAACTGAGGCACGTGGTTAACTCAAGAGCAGCTAGGTAGCTTTCCCTGAAGTCAATGAGAGCCATGACATCCTTCACCACACAGCCACATGGTACCTCAGCAGGCACCCGGCACCCGCCTGCTACACATACATATATAATGCAGGTCAAACAGTCATATGCATAAGTGAAATAAATCTTGAAAATAAAATGTGTGTATGCATAAACAGTTTTGGATTTTGTTGCAGCTGTCCTGTTCAGCCCCCATCTCATCCCACCTGCCCATGGCTCATCCTCACTTCTCCCCCACTGAACAGGGTCTGATGAGTGGCCTCTCACATGGTGGCCCTGTCCCTATGAAATAGCAGCCTGACACTCTCCTGAGCCCTGGGCCTTGAGCCTGGAACATTAGCCAGGTCTAAGAGGCAAGGTGGGAGGGCCTCTTCTCTCCCCTTGAGTGATATTTATCACTATGAGGCTACTGTGCTCATTTCAAGGCTCTTTTAGCATCCCCCGTGATTTCTCAATTGAGCTCTTAAGATGTCCTCTGGCATGCTTTGAGCTGGGAACCTTTTATGGTACTTGTAGCCGGGGCATGGGAATAAACCTACTCAGTATCTTCATCAGAGTCTTCAGCATGATTGGGGCTATGAGGC